GTCTCGGTCTCCTCATCAATTTGGACCGACTGAGATGACCTTGCTCCACTTGAGATCGGTCGAGTTGATGGAGTAATAGCAGCCTCTTCCTCCACTCGAGTCAGTTCTAGAATAACAAGCTCCTCAATGATCGGTCTCTTCCTCTTGGCCTAGCACTTTGTGATGGCCTCACTCAAATTCGGAACCTTGAAACCACTGTTCACTAACCTCTCTGCAAGTGACAATTCTCTGGGTGTGGATGTAGAGGCAACTCAATATACAACAAATGGTTGGAGTATCGAGTCAGCAACACATGCCATGTTCGCTTCAGTTGAGGGAACCAGCTTGTTCACGTTTGCCCACAAATGACTCCCTCTAAAACTTAGCTTGCCAAGCAACACTTTCCAATCTTGCTCGTTCTTGGGGATGGCTAGGATCTTCTTGGTGTTGTCGTCAAGACGATCGAGGCTCTATCTAGCTCGATTGTAAGTGACATTTGCACAAGACAAGTAGATGACATTTAGTCAACAAAGTATTAAGGACAAGAAGATAAAACACTCACTCATGGCCTTCCAGTAGAATGGAATGTCCCCCAGTCCACTCGACCCAAGTATATCTTCACCTTTAAGGAAGAAAAAGGCATTTTTCCACTTTTTGTCATGTAAGGTTTGTAACCAAATGTATTTGGTCACGTATCAAGGTAATTTGGTACCGTTCTTTCTCTTTATCATGCTCTTTCATGGGATATGAGTAAAGGAGGTCATGCAGCCCATACTCCACATGGTGCCTTGTACTCAGAATCTCTAAGGCCATAAGCAGTCTCCATCCATTCAACATCAGTTCAGAAGGTACTATTATAAAATGATGCAAAACTTCCAGGACCAGCTGGGGAATCGACAGCCTCAACCCATCAAAGAAGGGTTGCTCATACATACCCACCTAGCCAGGAACATCCCAGTCGATCCTCTCATGAACCTTCGGTATCCAAATGTGAGTCGACTCTAGTATCTTGTATGCATACCTCAATCTTCATTTGTCGTTCGACATGAGTCTAGACCGATAATCGGCTGTAGGAATGCCCCCACCTGACCAGCTTGGTTCATCCCCCTAACCTCCACCAGTTGAAGGCTCTTCATTCAAGTTATCACTTGGTCCATCCCCACTCTTACTAGACTTAGCTCCACTTGACTCTGCTCGAACTTGCACCTCCTAGCCAGCATGTTGGGCTATATTCACTCCTTGAGGCCCTAAAGACTCTCCATCAGGCATCAGGATGTAAGTCCTAGCGCGCTCATACTCATCCCCTCCATCCATTCTTTCTTGGCTCGGCCTACGTCTCCAGTTGAGGTGAAATACTCACTCGGCTATGCCCAAACAAACACAGTTACACTTCCATAAGTTTCCTAAGACCCCACTTGGCTCCCCCAAGTTGGCCGAGTCAGGATTCTTCCCCACAAACTATCTCCACTTGGCTCAATCAATTTGGCCGAGTTAGGATATCCTATATGATTTATTTCAATCTAACATTTGTAATGAATTGTTATAAGTAGTTATTTTATGTATCACTTTATCACTTGATTTTAAGCTATTAAATTTAATCAATTTGATTAAAGATTCATGCCTTTTATCTTTAAAGTAGACATTGTTATCATCGTAACATTTTTAGACATCATTTGTTAACATGGGTTGTATCAATGTTTAACATCAATTATTAACTCTTTTTTTCCTTTTTAGCAAAATTCTAATATTAGCTTATTCTATGTCATTTATTAGTTAATTTATGTTTTATACTAATTAGATGGAATTAATTAGAAAGATTTTTTTTCTTTTTTTCAAGTTAGTTATAAGGTTGTTGTGACCAATACTGTAAGTACTTGGGGGGGACTATTAATTCCTTAAGCATCCGAAATGGAAGCGACTCAGTACTTACGAATAGCTGTAGTACTTCTCAATCTAATTATATTTTCTAGACTTAGTTTTGGAGCTTCAAAATCAAAAGGAGTCAGCATTAAGCTCATCCCGATAGACTCTCGTGAGTAACCTTTATATCAACCTAACCTTACTCACCACGAAAGAGTTGAAAAAAGGGTTAATATCACCCTGGCCAAAGCTAAACTAACAAAATTGCCTTTCACTCAAAATGCAACATTCGGTGATGACAAGCTTTTGACTGCACTAGACCGTCAATATATATTCTATATTTCGTATATGATGATTGGACACCCAGCGTATTCTATGTATTTAATGGTGGACACTGGTAGTGGCTTGAGTTTGACACAATGTGAACCTTGCATATATTGTTTCCAGCAAAATTATGCCATATACAATTCACAAGCTTCCTTTTCTTACCATAGAATTAATTGTGATCACCCTCTTTGTAACTACAATGAACCATCCAGCTAGCGTTTTCCGATGTGTTAATGGCGATTGCGTCTATAGTCAAACATATGGTGATGCTCTAAGTCCTTCTAGGCCAACAAAAGGTTATCTCTCCTCGGAATCATTTCATTTTATAAATTGAAACTTTGAAGTTGAAGAATTTACTATTCTCTTTGGCTACTCGAATGACAACATAAATTTCTACTTCGGTAATCAACCATCCAATAGGATTTCCGGGATCTTGGGATTAGACTTAGATCCTACCTCACTAGACAGCCAATTGCATGAAACCGTTGGTGGTGTTTTCTTTTATTGTATTTTTCCTTATGATCAAAATTATCCATTCGATGTTCATCCTCATATACTCAGGTTTGGGGATGATGTTCAATTACCTGAAGGAAACATTCAAACAACACCCTTTATAAGTTTTGTAGGCAGAAGTTTTTATTATCTTGATCTTATGGATATAAGTGTTGGAAACTATCGTTTATATTTACCACCAGGTTCCTTCGACGCCACACTTGGTCACGGTTTCATCATAGATTCAGGAAATCCATTTACCATACTCACCATAAGTGCTATGAGGGGGCTTAGTATTTTTGAACTGGTGACAACAACATTTAGTCTACACTATGATTCTTATAATCTCATGAGAGTGCCTCGCATAAGAAGTATACCATTCAAACTTTGTTATATGCACAGATAAGATTTTAGAGATTTTCTACCATTGACCTATCATTTCCGAGGGGCAAACTACGTAGAACATAGCAGGTTTGTGCACATTCAATATAATGGAGGATTTTTCTGTGTAGCATTAATGCCCGATCCATTCGCTTCTATTCTAGGAGCCTATCATATGCAAAATATGCACATTATTCATAATAGAGTAATCAATGCAATTCAGTTTTACCAAGAAGAATGTGCTTTTGATCACTTTTAGAGTGGCGATGATGGTTGTTGTTACCTTTCTATATTGATACTCTATATATAGGAATATGTTAGTGTATGTCCTAGGAATCAATCGTGTTGTTGGTTTCAAAACATTATATCTTGTAAATATTATTTTAAGAATGAAAGAATGAGTTTTGATTTCAGATATATGTTTACTGCTTCATTTATATTATTTATAATGCATGAGAGATGTCTGGATGATACAGATCTTTAGAAGATCAAATCATCAAAACATTCCCTACATAAGTAATGTTAATTGGGCAATAACATTGCATAGTAGACATGCTAAATGTCTCTATTGAATATCATGTGATAGTATTGTGTGGGTGATTATAAGAGTTATGTCACTAGGGCATTAGCAAGGATAAATAGTTAGTAGACTTTTATCAAATATCACAATTTACGATAAATCACATGGACATTTAGAATGTAGTCAATGATAAATCATAGGATCGGATTAGTGTATCATTGATCCTTAGACCTGAGATGTCGAAGTTGAATTCTACATAGATGCATGTGATTCATATGATGTATAAACATGAGACTAGTCATGTCATGTGTAAAAAGCCGATCTAGCCATGGTTTATTTATGTGTGAAGCCAAGTGATAGTCAAGACGGGATCCATTGAGTCGATATAGGTAAATATCAAGTTCCCAGACAAATGTCGATATACGAAAAGGAAATCTCTGACCAGGGCATATAAACTGTATGGGGTATATCAAGTTCCTACTCGACTCGGTTAACCAAGTGGGCACATAAGAATATTTCAATTTTTAAACTAATTTGAATATCTAAAATCTTGTCTGTGCATATAATTAAGTTCCTACTGGGTTGGATTATAGGAATTTCAATTTTTAAACTAATTTGAATATTTATTGATAATCATTCATCAATATCAATTTAACAGCTTAAAATTAAGTGATACAGTGATACATAAAATAATTACTTATAACTATTCATTGACAACTGTTGGATTGAAATAAATTAATCACCGTGTGTGTGTGTGTGTGTATAGATACATAAAATAACTACTTATAACTATTCATTGACAATTGTTGGATTGAAATAAATTAATCACCGTGTGTGTGTGTGTATATATTTATATATATACACACACACACACGGTGATTAATTTATTTCAATCCAACAGTTGTCAATGAATAGTTATAATTAGTTATTTTATGTATCACTTGATTTCAAGTTGTTAAATTTAATCAATTTGATTAGAGTTTCATGCCCTTTATCTTTAAAGTAGGCATTGTTAGCATCGTAACATTTTTAGACATCATTTGTTAACATGGGTTGTATCAATGTTTAGCATCAATTATTAACTCTTATTTTCTTTTTTAGCAAAATTCTAATATTAGCTTATTCTATATCATTTGTTAGTTAATTTCTGTTTTATACTAATTAGATGGAATTAATTAGAAGGATTTTTCTTTTTTAATTTAAGTTAGTTACAAGGTTGTTGTGACCAATACTATAAATACTTGGGTAGGACTATTAATTCCTTAAACATCCAGAATGGAAGCAACTCAGTACTTACGAATAGCTTTAGTATTTCTTAGTCCCAATAGACTCTAGTGAGTCCCCTTTATATCAACCTAACCTTACTCACCACGCATTAACATTCAGTGATGACAAGCTTATGACTGCTCTAGACCGTCAATTTATATTCTATATTGCGTATATGATGATTGGAAACCCAGTGCATCCTGTGTATATAATGGTGGACACCGGTAGTAGCTTAAGTTGGACACAATGTGAACCTTGCATAAATTGTTTCCAACCAAGTTATCCCAGATACAATTCACAAGCTTCCTCTTCTTACCATAGAGTTAATTGTGATCACCCTCTTTGTAACTACAATGAACCATCCAGCGTTTTCCGATGTGTTAATGGCGATTGCATCTACAGTCAAACATATGGTGCTGGTCCAACTTGTTCTGGGCCAACAAAAGGTTATCTCTCCTCGGAATCATTTCATTTTATAAATAGAAACTATGATGACGAAGAATTTGCTGTTCTCTTCGGCTGCTCGAATGACAACGTAAATTTCTACTTCGGTAATCAACCATCTAATAGGATTTCTGGGATCTTGGGATTAGACTTACATCCTACCTCACTAGTGAGCCAATTGCATGAAACAATGGGTGGTGTTTTCTCTTATTGTATTGTTCCTTATGATCAAAATTATCCATTCGATATTCATCCTCATATACTCAGGTTTGGGGATGATGTTCAATTACCTGAGGGAAACATTCTAACAACGCCCTTTATAAGTTTTGTAGGCAGAAGTTTGTATTATCTTGATCTTATAGATATAAGTGTTGGAACGTATCGCTTATATTTACCACCAGGTTCCTTCAATGCTACACTTGGTCACGGTTTCATCATAGATTCAGGAAATCCATTTACCACACTCACCACAAGTACCACGGGTGGGCTCAATGTTTTTGAATTGGTGACAACAACATTTAGTCGACACTATGATTCTTATAATCTTGTGAGAGTAGTAGTACCTCCCACTAGCAATATAAAGTTCAATCTTTGTTATATGCACAGACAAGATTTTAGAGATTTTCTACCATTGACCTTCCATTTCCAAGGAGCAGACTACGTAGTACATAGCAGGTTTGTGCACATTGAATTTAATGAAGGATTTTTCTGTGTAGCATTAATGCCCAGTCCATTCGCTTCTATTCTAGGAGCTTATCATATGCAAAATATGCGCATTATTCATAACACACTAATCAATGCAATTCAGTTTTACCAAGAAGAATGTGCTTCTGATCACTTTTAGAGTGGCAATGATAGTTGATGTTACCTTTCTACAGTGATACTTTATTATCGGAATATGTTAGTATATCTCCTAAGAAACAATCATATTGTCGGTTTCAAAGCATTATATCTTGTAAATACTATTTTAAGAATGGAAGAAAAAGTTCTGATTTCAGATGTATGTCTACTACTTCATTTATATTATTTATAAAGCATGTGAAATATCCGGATGATACAGATCTTTAGAAGATCAAATCATCGAAGCATTCTCTACATAAGTAATGTTAATTGGGAAATAACATTGCATAGTAGGCATGCTAAATGTCTCCATTGAATATCATGTGATGGTATTAGTATAGGAGATTATAAGAGTTATATCACTAAGGCATTAGTATGGATAAACGGTTATAGACTGTTTATTGAATATGACCATTCACGATGAATCACATGGACATTTAGAATGTAGGCAATGATACATTATAAGATCGTATTAGTGTATCACTGATCCTTAGACCTGAGATGTCAAGGTTGAATTCTGCATAGATACATGTGATTCACATGGTGTATAAATATGGGACTAGTCATGTCATGTGTAAAAAGCCGATCTAGCCATGTGTTATTTGTGTGTGAAGACAGGTGATAGTCAAGACGAGATCCCTTGAGTTGATATAGTTTGATATCAAGTTCCGAAACCAATGTCAATATACGAAATGGAAATCTCCGGTCGGGGTATATAAAATGTTACCTGAAAAGTTGTTTCATGATGACACGTTCGAAATATATTAATTGTCAATTTAATATAAGATTAAGATAAGGATTTTGACATACTGTGAATCCATTCTTAATTGGGATTAGACAATGAAAAAATTTAACTACCCGGCGCATATGATTATAAAATGGTTCTTTGGAGTATATCTTCATTGTGACTTAGGGGTTATGGAGCATTACTAGATACCTACCATAGTTAGTGGGAGTTTCGGTCATAAAGAGTTATAACAAAACATATCAAAATAGACTACGATATTGGGCCCAGGGCTAAGCCATAGTGAGCATAGGAGGCCACACATAAAAAAATAAGGAGAATGGAAAAATAGGCAAAGAAAATTGATTATCCAAGGTTGGCTAGCACCTAACAAGGATAATAAAGACATTTATATTATTATCATGGAATTAGATTCATAGGGTTATATTTGTAATTATGAACAATTTAAAAGTTAAATTGTTAATTATGATTAAATGTTAATCCAATGTCATTATATAAAGAAGTTTAATAACTTCATACTAATGATGAAATTATTTACAACACTAAAACAATTATGGAATTGTTTAAAGAAGTCCAAAATAATTATTGAATTGTTTACAAGGCTACATATATANAGATCAAATCATCGAAGCATTCTCTATATAAGTAATGTTAATTGGGAAATAACATTGCATAGTAGGCATGCTAAATGTCTCCATTGAATATCATGTGATGGTATTAGTATAAGAGATTATAAGAGTTATATCACTAAGGCATTAGTATGGATAAACGGTTATAGACTGTTTATCGAATATGACCATTCACGATGAATCACGTGGACATTTAGAATGTAGGCAATGATACATTATAAGATCGTATTAGTGTATCACTGATCCTTAGACCTGAGATGTCAAGGTTGAATTCTGCATAGATACATGTGATTCACATGGTGTATAAATATTGGACTAGTCATGTCATGTATAAAAAGCCGATCTAGCCATGTGTTATTTGAGTGTGAAGACAGGTGACAGTCAAGACGAGATCCCTTGAGTTGATATAGTTTGATATCAAGTTCCTAGACCAATGTCAATATATGAAATGGAAATCTTTGGTCGAGGTATATAAAATGTTACCTGAAAAGTTGTTTCATGATGACACGTTTGAAATAAATTAATTGTCAATGTAATATAAGAGTAAGATAAGGATTTTGACATACTGTGAATCCATTCTTAATTGGGATTAGACAACGAAAAAATTTAACTACCCGGCGCATATGATTATAAAATGGTTCTTTGGAGTATATCTTCATTATGACTTAGGGGTTATGGAGCATTACTAGATACCTACCATAGTTAGTGGGAGTTTCGGTCATAAAGAGTTATAACAAAACATATCAAAATAGACTACGATATTGGGCCCAAGGCTAAGCCATAGTGAGCATAGGAGGCCACACATAAAAAACTAAGGAGAATGGAAAAATAGGTAAAGAAAATTGATTGTCCAAGATTGGCTAGCACCTAACAAGGATAATAAAGACATTTATATTATTATCATTGAATTAGATTCATAGGGTTATATTTGTAATTATGAACAATTTAAAAGTTAAATTGTTAATTATGACTAAATGTTAATCCAATGTCATTATATAAAGAAGTTGAATAACTTCATACTAATGATGAAATTATTTACAACACTAAAACAATTATGGAATTGTTTAAGGAAGTCCAAAACAATTATCGAATTGTTTACAAGGCTACATGCATAAAGAAAATGATATATCAATTTTAGAATAGAGATAAAAAATTTCTAATAACCCTAATATATCTCTCTTGCTAATTTTTTTTTCCTTAGTGTGGATACTCTCTTGTTTAATTTCTCTTGAAATTAAAAGTCTCCAAGGTTTCTAAGGACTTAAGGTAACAATCTATACCTTACTTGTTTTCAATTTGATTGAAATTTTTCTTTGTAAAATCCTAATATATATTTTCATAGTATTACATGCATCAAATGCTTAGTTCTTCATGCATTCCAAGCTACAGAATAATCTTCATGTAGTTATAAAAAAAAAAAAATTTAGTCTCAACTTGGGATAGTTATAAATAAGGATAAACTGCACACATTATTATTGTTCACTGAAACTGTTTGAAACAAATCAATGCAACATATTAGTATCACAGGCAATAAAAATTAAATAGCTTTAAACCTCATAAGCTATTTCACATAGGGACATTGGGTGCATCACCATTAACTCTCCTTTGGGTAGAGAAAATAACATGCTATTAGGGTCCCAACCACAACATTATAGGCAATAAACAATCAAAGTAGCTTTAAAACCTGATAAGCTAAACCTTACAGNATGCTTTCCCAAAAACTAACCGATAAGGGGACATGCCAATTGTTAGACCGGTCGTCACGGTCATAAAATTAAACCTACGTACCGTAGTTAGCGGTAAGCAGGGTCGAATCCACAGAGAGCAAGACTAACGACCTAATGTATATTTGAGTTACTGNGAGTGCTTGAAGGAATTTTCCCAATCAGGTTGTTGTTCGATGTCATCATTACTGGTTCTTCTGAAACTGACATTCTTGCTGTTAAGAAGTTCCTTCATGATCAATTTACCATTAAAGATCTTGGATATGCCAGAGGAAGTACGTTTTGGATATACTTACAGATACAGGCCTTTTGGGTGCCAAACCTGCTACTACTCCTTTACGTAAAGGCTTCAAGTTTTGTTCTATTGAGGATACTTTATTTGCTAATCCTGATCAAGAAAGATGAGTTGTAACAGAAAACATGTTTCATTTGAGCCTCCTCTTTGTTAACTCAGGAAGTGTGAGCTATAATAGTTTCATGTGAGCTTATCTTTGTCAACTCAGGAAGTGTGAGTTGTAACAGAAAAAAGTTCCTGCTAAATCGAAGGGTTCAAATAGAAAGTTTTGTGTTTGTTTGTTATTCTAATGAACGATTGAGATTTAAAGTTGACAAGGATTGTAACAAACTTTCCTATAAAGTGTAATCTGAATAACAAATAATAAAATAGTTTCTCATTTTTAACTCCAGAAAAGTTTCAACTTACTCTGTTTTTTCTATTTGTTATTTTCTCTTTCTTTGTTCTTGAGTTGTTTAATATGGTATCAGAGCTTTTTTGACGGACGTCAATGGCGGATCCAAAAACTCCTCAATTTTCAGCCTTCAACACAGAAGGAAAAACAATGAACTCACTTTCATCCTTGGCACTCAACAATGCTTTACCTACTGTCACAGTGAAACTAGGCGAGAAAAACTATGGCTATTGGAAATCTCAAGTCCTTCCAACTTTGAAAGCATTCGAACTAAAAGGATTTGTGTGAGGTGAAAAACTTTGTCCTCCTCCTTTTACCCTTTCTGAAACTGATGAACCAACGAAGATAGTAAATTCAGAATATATCTTATGGAAAAAAATTGATCAATTTATGTTCAGTTGGTTGATGTCTTCTATCTCTGAAACAATGTTTAGGCATGTAGCTAATTATGAAACCACATGTGAAATCTGGCACACTCTAGAGATGCATTTTCTAACAGATTCTAAGGCTAGGATTCTGCATTTAAGAAATCAATTACAAACCACAAGAAAAGAAAATTCCAGTATCAACGAATATGTGTTAAAAATGAAAGAGATTGCTGGATCTTTAACCACAAGTGATGTGATAGTGACTGATGAAGAACTACTGTTATATTTGCTTGATGGACTTGGACCGAAGTATGATGCCATGGTAGCAACCTTAATTGCTAGAAGTAATGAAGTATCACTATAAGAAGCACAGTTCCTATTGCATAAGCATGAAATGAGGTTGGAGAAACAACACTTAGCCTATATAGGATTTCATGAAGCGGCTGCCTTCATTGCAAATAAACAATCTGTTAACTCACAACCTCAACAAGTCATGTCAGTTGCAAATACCTCAGAGTAGTAACAAAATCAGTTTACACAATCTTCCTAACAGAATCAGAACCAGAGTGAGCCGAGGAACTCCTTTCAGCTTGCCCCAAACTTTCAAACTTATACTCCAAATTTTGGTCAAAGTAGAGGAAAACGAAGGAAATTTTACAAACCACGGTTGTTTTACCAATTGTGTGGGAAAAGTGGCCATATGGCGCTTCAATGCTACCATCGCTTTGATACCTCTTTTCAAGGTAATCAAAATCACAGGCCTTCCTTTGGTTATGAGTATAATTCATCATCACAACTTACTCAAAATTAAGGTCCTGCTCAAGCCTGACTTGCCAATAGTCAACCGGG